CCCCAAAACCCCAAAACCCCAAAACCCCGTAAATTGAATCAACAGCAGTTTAATAAGATTATCTTTCTAATGATTTTTCGACGAATTTAATAAAGGATTAAGATTTGATCACTGAATAAATGATTGATGGCTTGCTGAATGCTTGGTGTATGAGGGAATAGCAGCATTGCAATCAGTCTCAATGGCGAGGTTGTCTGAGTGCATCTTGATTCTCATCCATCCCTTCTCACCCCAGTAGGTTCCCCATGAGTTTCTAACAATCCAGTATTCAGTCTTTGTTGCTTCATCATAACCCCATCCGGCAACTGAGATGATGTGATTAATCTCAGGGAATGATTTAGCCTCTGAGAAAATGCCGCCAAGGTAGCTATGCATCTTGTCAGTAGCATCAATACCACAAGAGATTGGGCCATTCTTGTAGATTTCAGCCTTCATTTTCTCTGCACCTGAGAATGAGTAGTAATCTGAAACGTAGTATCTCTTATAGTTGGTGACTGCCCAGCAGTTTTCTTGACCATCTTTATCGGCATCAGGAGCTGGACCCTTGCAGTCCTTGCAGATATCCATATCTGTGCATTTATGATCTAGATTCTTGGCAACATAGACAACGCAAGTTGAATCTGGGATACCATGGAGGTAAGCATATTCATAAACTCCGACTGGGTCTCCACCGTTGCAGGAACCTCCTGCTCTACAGTTAACAATCATTTGAGGGTTAAGTGCGATTGGAGTTGGGTTAAGATCCTTCATTAAGATGTTGAATCTATCAGCAAGTGAAGAAGTTGAAGCTTGAGCCCAGCATGAACCACAATAAACTGGAATGTGTTGATTGAAAGTCCATGAAGCATAGTTAGTGCCGTTTACGTTTCTCCAGTCAAAGTTAGCTGGGAGATCTGAATGCTTGACCTCATCCCAAGCCATAATTCTGTTTTTGACCTCACCCAAGAGTAAGTCAGTCTTTTTAACTGAACAGCCAAGATGATGAGTTTACTCTTTAAGGAATGATGAGGATGTAGTAGAATCTTGTGGGTATGGGCTGACTGAATTATCTTTATTGTTTCTTGGATCATTCTTCTCCTCTTGAGAAGTAATGTGTTTCTCACCTGATGTCCATGTATCAGCTGGGGTGGCCCATGCGCAATCACTTTCAATCATGATATTGTTGGTACCTCTGACAACTCTAAAGAATCCATTTTCTCCCCATGAGGATCCCCATGAATTTCTAACAACCCAGTACTTGGTGCCGTTTTCAGCACCGTATCCAACAACTGAAATATCGTGGTTGATGTCAGTGGATCCAGTTTTATCTTCAAAGATTCCTCCTTGATAGTTGTGGAGCTCTGGAGTAGCAGCAATACCGCAGGCAATTGGCCCTCTTTGATAGATTTCTTGCATCATTGCATCCTCACCCTTGAGTTCTCCAAACTCGTCAACTCTGTAGACGTAGTACTCATCTGGTACGAAGCATTTCTCGTGAGGGTGGCAGTCTTTGCACTGAACGATTGGTGAGCAATCGAGACCGTTGGTGTGACCTCTTGCTCTGTAGTCTGAGCAAGTCTCATCAGTGATGTTATTGTTGTGCATGTATTCATAACCTGAAAGGGCATATCCACCATTGCATCCTTCATCACTGGAGGAGCAAGAAAGAAGGACTTAGGGGGAGATGTTGACATCTGGCCATTGAGCCTTTCTTGCAATCTTGATTCTGTCAGAAAGAGAAGAAGTAGCAGCCTGGGCCCAGCATGATCCACAGTACTGTGGAATATGTTAGTTCTTCATGTTAGTCAAATAGTTAACTCCATTGACATTGTTCCAGACGAATGTTTCTGGGAGGTTAACGCTTTGGAGGCGCTTCTTTTCGACTGTCTTAATTGGTCTATCATGCTTTATTCTGCATGGCTTGTCTATGACTGCCTCTGAGTAGGCCAATCCTAAGAATAGGGCGACTGCTAAGGTTATTTTTCTCATTATTATTAATTATAGATCCGGGTAATTGGTATCCTAAAATTTTAACAAAAATAATTAATATTTCCTCCTTTAAATATACTTCAATAAATTCTAATGGAAATAAAACTTAAACGAACATATATGGGGTAGGAGAAGCAATAAAGTTTCTTAGAAAACTAAAGTTTCGATTCAAATAAGAAAAGCCTTGAGATTAATAAGGATCTAAGATCTTTTCATATAAACATTCTAGATAAGGGACTTTCGAAGGATTCAGACTATATTCATCTTTAAGTTCAAAGATCTCCGTCAAGTAAGAATGGAAGAAATAAATGATAAAATACTCTGCCTAGAAGAAATTAAGGTGATGGTTAGTCAGGAAGTGGAAAAAACCCCTATCTATCTCCAACTCAGAGAGCTCATCAGTTTATGGAAAACTATTAAACTAAGACATCATCTTTGATATCTGTGTCATACCTACAGCTTTAAGACATGGTTAGCAAGCTTTCAGAGTTAACTGATTCATTGATGCATACACATTAACAGGATTTCGTAACAGCTTATAAAGATCACATGCTCAAAGTTCAATGTGAAATGATTCATTTAAAGAAGAAGTCTACTGATTTTTACCAGAAAATGAAGAGGGATGAGAGAATTAGATTTTTGGAATCAACAATTTAGTGGCTCAGAGGGGAGGCCTTATCCTTAGCTAAGAATATATCAGATCTAAAAATAAAAAATGATGAAATGAAAGAAGAGCTTGATATTGCGAAGAGTGATAAAATCTTCATGCTACAGTATACTAAATCACAAAAGAGATATAATCAAATCTTAGTTAAAACAATAGATAAACTAAAAAGCCCTAAATATCAAGAATAATACTAGCTCAACTAATCAAGGCTAATCTAAAATGAGCAAGATTTGACCTCAGTTCAGTCTGCAACAATAGTCAATCATACTAATTTGCATAATCAGTTGAGAGCATCAAAAGATTTTGAACTCAAGTCACCTATATAATCAATAGGGAAAAAGCTGAGTTCAACATTATTTGAAAAAAATAGATAGGATGCAAGAGCCTCTACTGCTTACCAGACGGTGCGAAAGTCATCTCAAAATAATGAATAATCTACTATTGATCCAAGCATACTTAACAACTCTAAAACCTCTTAATATAGATTTAGAGATCGAAATAGGAAGGCATTTGTATCAATGAGTGTCAACTCCGCTCCTTATTAAACAGTTTTAAGTGAAAGTAAAAAAGATAACTTTGAAACTGTAATAGCTAATTAAAATTAACTTAATTATACTGGTGTAGCAAGTCAAGGCTTAGGCTTTGAAAATATAAAGATTTCTAATTAACTGATAAGACAACAAAAAATCTAAAATGAAAGATTGATAAGTAAACTTCATGAAGATGTGAAATAAAAAGATGAAATAATAAGGGATTTAAAAGCGAAGTTAAATGAGCATATCGAAACTTAGTGTAATCAGCAAGACTAGTAAAATAATGATATCAAGTCTTTGCATTACTCCTAGAAATTAGACTTGAAGGACTTCTTCTTGGAATGTGTTTAATCAGTCTTAGCTTTCAATTAGAGATTTGGCTAAACATAGTTTACTCCTTTAGATAGACATAATACGATTTCTGATCTGAATGAGAAGCATCTGAGACACATGACTCATATTGAGAAAAGAGAAGCGATTTATAGATTCCTCAATAATAAGAGGGTCTTAAGAGGTCTCTATGATTTAATTTTCCCAAGCGGGTATTCAACTAACATGACTTAATAGCTGGACAGTTCTATGAAATTAATTGGCAGTGATTTCATCGAGTCCTTATCAAAGACCTAAGTCTAACCCACTCCTGTTAGAAGCAGAAAATCCTCTATTCATACCCAGAATCATAATAAGACACAATCTTTTATTGATAAAATTGAGGAGAGACTTGTAGAGAAGAAAACTTCAAATGAGTTACCAATACATCAGTAGAAACAAGATAAAAGAAGGAGAAGTTCTATAAATAATTACAAGCTTTTGGATGAATACGACTTAAAGTCGGAGGAGCAGTTCTTGATTATTGAGCCTAAGAAAATTGTCTAAACTGCTAATAACTACCGTTTAAACTCGATTAAAAATAAAGACCACGCGAAGAAGACTTACTAAGTTAAGAATGGAAAATTAATGATATCATAATGACAGAAAAGTTCATGATTCTGCAATTATATATATGAATATATTTGATAAATTATTTAATTTCTTAATACCTTTTTATAATATTCATAAATTCTGAAAGGGGTTTTGGGGTTTTGGGGAGATCGGAAGA